GGATGTTGCCATCGGCCAGTCTGTTAAGAATGGTCTCTTTGATAATCTTTTCTAAGACCTTCCCCAGGATAGAGGTCAGGCTGATGGGCCTGTAGTTTGCCAGATCCACTTTCCTCCCTTTCCTGAAGATAGGCACCACATTGGCCTTCTTCCAATCTTCAGGCACTTCACCAAAGTGCCAGGAGGTCTCGAAGATCCGTGCCAGGGGCTGAGCTATGATGCTTGCCAGCTCCTTGAGTACCCTGGGGTGCAGATTGTCAGGGCCGGCTGACTTTAAGGTGTCCAGCCTCTCAAGGTGTTCCTTCCTGAGGTCAGCATTGATGGAGGGCAGGGAATCTCCCTCACTTGGGCCTCCCTGTCCCGCGATGGGCAGAGGTGTTTGTGAGACTGGTGAAAGACCGAACCAAAGTACCCATTTAATAGGTTGGCTTTTTCCTGGGCATTGGTTGTCCATTGTCCCATCTGGTTTAGCAGGGGTCCAGTGTTGCCCTTGCTTTTCCTCTGGCTCCCCACATATCTAAAAAAGGACTTTTTATTGTCCTTGATCCTAGTAGCCAGTTGGAGTTCTGTCGCAGCCTTGGCTTTCCTGGTTCACTCCCGGCAGGTCTGGAGCAGTGCGGAATATTTCTCCTTGGAGGTGGATCCCGTCCTCCATCCTTTGTAGGTCTTTCTTTTTAGATGAAGAAGGCCCACTAGTTCCTTGCTGAGCCAATGGGGCTGCTGTGCCCTTTTGCTGCCTTTCCTCCAAGATGGAATAGCCTTAGCTTGTGCATCTCGGATTGCTCCCTTAAGGAGAAACCACTCTTCCTGAACTCCCCTCCGCTTGGGGTCATGGTCCCTTAGGGCCTCACCGACAAGCCTCCTAAGCTTATCGAAGTCAGCTTTCCTGAAGTCGAGGACTTCTGTATTGCTGACTGACTTGCCAGCTTTACAACAGATGGTGAAGGTGATCAGCTCATGGTCGCTGGCACCCAGCTTCCCATCGATCATTAGGTCTCTGATTAGGTCATCTCCGGTTGCCAGTACCAGGTCGAGCAGCACTTTACCTCTTGTCAGCCCGTGGACTTCTTGTATCAGATAGAGGTCATCTACGCACAAGAGGAAGCTTTGCGACCGCTTGGATTTGGCCGAGTGCTCTTCCCACGAGATGTCTGGATAGTTGAAGTCTCCCATGACAACCACGGATCAGGAGCATGTGGCTTCAGCCAATTCCATGGTGAACTCCTGGTCAAGCTCTTGATTTTGGGTGGGAGGTCTGTAGTAGACTCCCACCATAGTATCCCCTGTGCCATGTTCCCCACAGATTTTAACCAGAGGGTCTCAAGTCGTCCACCCTGGTCGCCAATGTCAGCTTGCAGGGACGCGTAGCTTTCCTTGACATAGAGAGCTACACCCCAGCCCCTTTTGTCCCCTCGATCCCTCCTGTACAGCGTATAGCCATCTATACCCGTGGTCCAGTCATGGGTGGAGTCCCACCAGGTCTCCATTATCCCTATGACATTGTAATTATTTGTGTTAAGCGGGAGGACAAATTCCTCCTGTTTATTCCCCAAGCTCCTGACATTTGTGTACAGGCAGGCAAGTGTCGCCTTGGGGGCCCTTGCCTTGCCTACAGATTGTTCCAGGGGTGGGCTCCCTTAAGCACCTTGGCCTGCTGGCTTTGCAGAGATTGCTCAGCAGGCCAGCAGTGGTGGTAGTCCCCCTGTCCACCGGCGGGCTTAGTTTAAAGCTCAGTGGAGCAGGTCAGTCAGTCTGGCTGAGAAGAGCCTCCTCCCTAGCAGAGAGAGGTGGAGGCTATCCCTTCCCAGCAGCTCGCTGCCTCTCTCACCAAAGAGCGGATTGTGGTCATGGAAGCCAAAGCCTTCCCAATGACACCAGCGCCGCAGTCTTTTAGCTTGAGGCTGTTGCTCCTAGTTCTGCCCCCTATGGCTACAGAGAAAAGCCCATCTCCATCCTTCCCTGTCATCACCCTTCAGGGATTTGAAAACTGTGATCAAATGCCCCCTCAATCTTCTCTTCCCCAGACTCAATAACCCTAGTTCTTTCAGCCTTTCCTGATCAGTACTGTCTCCCAGGTCTCTAATCATTGTTGTCACTCTGCACTGGACTCTTTCCAATCTGTCCACCTCCTTCTCAAAGCGCAAGGCCCAGAACTGGACACAAGACTCCAGGGAAGGCATCACCAAAGTTAGAAAGAAACTTGAGGTTCCCTTGCAATTTTCAAACCTAGCATCCCCATGTTGCTCTGCTTTTCCTGCAGATAACCGCTGTACCAAGTTCTACCACCTGCCTTCTCAGACTGGCCAGCTCAGTAAGATCTGTCATGAGGATGTTTGCCGCTGTGCAGAAGGTAAGAATCTGGCTTGTCTCTAGTTCATTTCTAGGCGTTATGGGCAGGTAAATGAACCAACTGGTTTATGTGGCTCAACTACACTCAAACCTGAGCCTGGTTGGTAATGGGAATACCATATTTATTCATATACCACACACGCCTTCACCGGTCACCAAAAAAAATAGCCCTCCAAAACTGGGGTACATGTCTCAAGCAGCCAAGCTGATTTTTTTTTTTTGCTGGCACAGAAGCATGGAGACACTGTGCTCTAAGATGGCTGCCAGCTTCTCTCTCAGGCAGCAAGAAGCATTTCCTTCTCTCAGTGAAACTTTTCCCAGCTGCTTTCAAATTGGCAATAGTTTTGAGCTGAGCAGGATAATCAAGTCCTTCCTATACCCCTGGTTATAAGGGTCTCAGTGGGTGAGTGGTATTGAGTGGTCTTTCCTGGTGATTTTTGGTGTCTTCCTCTTTTTCCCCCACCACAGAAGAGTGCTTCGTGCAGCACAGGAGGGACAGTGACATCACGCTAGATGGGCGAATTGAAGAAGCCTGCGAACCTGGGGTGGATTATGGTAAAAGATCTGGGTTTTAGTCTGAGCGTTGCTTGGGAGTGTAGATGGGGATCAAACATAACTGGGAGACAGCTTCTAGTTATCCTCAGTGAAATGTGCCATCAGGCTTAGGTGATTCATCTGAACCTGTGCCCAGGTGGGGTGTGTATAATGGAAATAGTATAAATACTCACATATCACATGCAGCTTCCCCAAAAAATCAACCCTCCAAAACTGGGGTGTTTGTCTTAAACTGTCTGAGCTGGGTGGGCAGCTGTGTCCTGCTGTGTCCTACAAGCCCTGGAGGCCGCAGCATCTTCTTGACCACATCCCAATGTCTAGGTCTGTTGTGGATCACGTAAATTACAGGTGTCTTCAGGATTTGCTGTAAAAGTCTCCAGAGGTGATTGAGTTCCTTTTATGGCAGAAATTTGGGTAGATCCGCTGATCTCATCTTCTTCCGAGTGGCCCCTGGAGAGTAAATTTCTCATGATCTTGGATCCAACCCAGAGCCAGCAGTAGAAGGCAGAGGTGTCCAACCTGCTGTACATGGCGTGGGCAGCCTCTGTAGGTGGGGAAGGGACAGAGAGTATAAGCAGGGAGCAGAAAGCAGAGTAGCAGGTCAGGAAGAGACTCTGCCCAGAACTATTCAAATTCAGGCTCCATCTTTGACTCATGAAGTCTACAAGCTGGACATGTCATCTTGACCCTAACAGTGGGCTTGGAAAGTATTTGGGCCTCTCTGTAGGGCACCCAGCCATTCAGACATGATTTAAAGGCAGTCCCTGAGGTTCTAACAAGCTGCTACGTGTCTCTCTTCTCTGGGTCCCCTCAGTTCTTAGCACTACCTCTAACACAGCTAAGAAACGCCAATATTCAAGCTGCTGGGGGGAAATCCCAGCAAAAGAAAGCAGTCAAGGCTCTGTCAGTTGCTCAAGTCTCTCTGCTTCTCAGTTTGCCTCAGTGCAGGAAGTACAGCAGGTTGGAGTGGGATGTCCATTGTTGTGTCAGGGTGGACAGTAGTTTTACAAAGAGTTTAGATGATGGATTAGTCTGGGATGGCTTGGACAGGGCTGATCCTGCCTGAGGCAGGGGGTTGGACTCAGTGTGAGTTATAAAGGTCCCTTCCAGCCCCACGTCCCTAGGATTCTATGATAAGCTTGTAACCAGGGCTGCTCAACCCCCAGCCTGCAAGACAAATCTGGCCCACAGAGCCTTGGTCTCCAACCCATGGGGATTCCCATGGCTTGGGAAATGTGGCAGCTGGAAATGGTGGAAGCTCCAGGCAGAAGGATCCAGCCCTGCCCAGGCCATTGCCACAAAGTGGGATCAGGGCCAGGTCCATCCCGTATGCATCCAGATCAGGGCTACTCCATCCTCTCCCCCACATCCGGATCGGGGCCACTGCCTCCCCCCCCCCCCCCTCTCGATCAGATT